ACTTAACAACAACAACAACAACAATAAACATATGGAAACATGTACAACCTCACTAACAGTTAAACCAAAAACAAAACAAACTTACTGCCATCACAGCAACCCCCTTTGGGTTTCTGAGGCAGTAAAATCTTTATGTAAGTAGATTGCCCAGTCTTCCTTCCGTGGAGCAGCTGGTGGGTTTGAACCGCCAACCTTCTGGTTAGCAGTCAAATGCCTTCGGCACTACACCATCAGAGCTCCTAGAACAGTTAAGGAGGTACAAACAGAATGAGATGCCACCTTCCTCCCGAGACTGGCTAGAACTTAGAGGACTGGTAGCATCCAGCCAGCTTCTCTAGAGAGCCCAGCCTAACACAGATGGGCACTTGCGTGCATCACTGGAGGACCAGCAACACAGGCAACCTTTGTGGTATGAATTTCTTAAGACCTACTAAATCTCCCCCCACTAGATTTCTTAAACAGCTTTACTGAGATCTAATTCACATACCATTTAAAGCATACAATTCAGCTATGGAACAGTCACCACAATCAACCTGAGGACATCTGTGTCTCCCACATGAGGCCCCACAGCCTCATCCTCCACATCCACCTCTGCACTCCCCCAACCCTAGGCACCCACAATCTACCATCTCCCTCTCTAGACTTCCCTGCTCTAAACATCTCATGGAAAAGGAATCGTGCACTATGTGGTCTTCTGTGACTGAGCAGGTCCTCAAGGTCACCCGCCTTGCAGCCTGTGGCCTGGGTATCAGTACCTCGTTCCCTTCCATGACTGTGTGGACACTGCCGCACAGTCTGTATCCATTCCTCAGCTGACGGACGTTTGGGTGTTTCCACCTTTTGGCTATTATGAACAATGCTGCAGTGAACATTCATGTCCAAAGTTTTGTTTCACATCTGCTTTCAGTTCTTTTGGGTACATGGCTACAAGGGAGTCTGCCGGGTCATGTGGGAATTCGATGTCCACATTCAAATGAAACTGCCAGACTGTTTTCCACAGCAGCTGCACCAGTGTGCATTCCCCCTCAGCAGCACAGCAGGGTTGCTTTCAATTTCTCCACATCCTCACCAACACTTGTTATTATTGTCGTTTTCACCCTAGCCATCCTAGCGGGTATGAAGCAGTATCTCGTGGTGGTTTTGATTTGCATTTTCCTGGTAGTTAATGAGCTTGAGCATCTTTTCATGTGCTATTGGCCATTTGTGTATCTTCTTTAGAGAAATGTCTATTCAAATCCCTTGTCCAGTTTTTAACTGGGTTAGTTGACTTTTTATGAGGGCCTATTAAATTAAAATGTGAGCACTGGCAACCCTTGTGTGGAAATACAATTCACAGAAATAACTGCCTGTGTGCTGAACCCACGTGGATGAGGACTTTGCCCAAAGCCCTGTTGGTATCTGTGAAATGTTGGGAACTTAAATGTCTATTAATAAGGCACTGGTTAGGTTAATCACAGCACACCCAATGCACGTAGCACTTTGCAGGCATCTGGCTGATGAGGTTAACCACGGCACACACAATGCACGCAGAACTTTGCAGGCATCTGGCTGGCCTGATGAGATGTCTAGTCTACAGTAAGTGACTTTAAAATTAGTTATTATTATTTTATATATTTGCAGAGCAGATAGTTAGCAGAATCTCATTTTTGTTCAAAGAGAAATCTACATACCCATGCAAGCAAGAGGAGAGATCTGGGCGGCCGTGCACAAAGCAGCTACCTTGGGGAGGGAAGGAGCAAGTGCAAGGGAGGAAGGCCGTCACCTCCTCGGTCCATATAATTTTTTTAAGGGACAGGATTACGAGACTATTTGTTTTTTAAAATCTACAATCTACTTCCCCATACTCTTCAGAGTATTTTCAATATTATTACATGTAGAGGGTTTCATTTTTCAACTCCATGGCACCCCTAATGCTACGCTCCAAAGGACATTCCTAAAAATCTCCGTTTTCCATCCAATGTCCACGCACTACATGGATGAAGAGAAGTTACTCCGGTGTAAGGAGAACATCTGATTAGTTTCTCCTTTGCCGACTCCTCACTGCTGTGGCTGAACGGCATGCTCAGGGGCAGGTCACTCACGTGGTTCAGAAGATACTGCACAATGATCTCATGGCCCGCGGCCGCAGCCTCCATCAGAGGTGTGAACCCGTACACCGGCTCCCTGCAGGAGAAGCCACAGTCAGAGAGGAGAGGAGCCCTGCCCGGACTAAGCTTCCCGCTGAAGACAAAACCGAGTGAGCACACGCCACCGAGGGTAGTGGCCTTGTGCTCACAAAAACCAACAGGGCACAGAGCAGAACAAAGTCTTTGTGGACCATGTCATGTCAACTGACTTTAACGTCCCCTGCAACTATGGTCCTGAGTCTGCAAGCCCAGAGACCCACTCTCTCAAGGTGTTTGGTTATGGCTAAGACATTTTCGTCACTGCCCAGTTAGCTCTACTATTTACAAGATTTTTATAGCACATACAAATATGTATGTAGAAATAACATTTGCCAAACCAACACATGGCTGTGGGTACAGTCCTATTCACCTTAACCATAATAAATATTCACCAAAACCATAATAAAAAGTTAAAACAAAACCAAAAGGGGAGAGTGAGGACGGTCAACAGTAACACGCAGCCTCGTCGACTCTTCTGGTCTATGCCCAGCCACGTGAGGCTTTTCATCCTAATGACAGATCTGTCCCCAGTCTCCCCTCCTCCTCAGCTGCTGTTCCCACCCGCTGGCTCCTAAATCTCCACTTCATCACATTCAAAACCAAGTCATGGTCCTTGACGTCTCTCAGAAAGCTGATGCCCCCACCACCTACCCACAACCCAACCAGCACCCCTGACGTCTCTCAGAAAGCTGACATCCCCATGCATCCCTCCCTAAAAGTTTGGGTACTACACATCTCCCGGTTGCCGTGGAGTCGACTCCGACCCCTGGAGGACCCGTGTGTGTCAGAGCAGAATCGGGCTCCATGGGGTTCTCAGCGCTGCTTCAGAAGCGTTCACCAAACCCTTCTCCCGAGGTGCCCCTGGATGGACCGGAACCCCCTACCTTGCAGTTAGGAGCCGAGCGTGTTAACGGTCCATCCACCCAGGGACTCTGATCCCATTTCCCTGTCCTTCCCATTGCTTAGTCCTCAGTGCTCACTCTGTGCTGGACTACAGCCCACATAGCACGGGCCTCAGGCTGCCTGGCAGCCTCCTTTCTTTCATGAATGTTCCAACACTCAGTTTCCTCCATTCTAAGACACATCGTTTCCACATTTCAGCATCTCTGAAATCAGAATGTGTCCCACATCGCACAGGCGAGTTGAACGTTATTCGGCTGCGTTTTTTTTTTTTCTTTCTTAGTGGCACACAGAACACTGGTGTGTCTTACAATGGATGGCATCAGCCAGGTGGAAGGCACAGAACCAGGCAGCAGTGGATGCTGTGTTGGTTCCTGTAGGTTATTCTCATCACAGGCTGCAGACAACACCTCCTGCTTATCAAACTCCTGGTTGTTTCCAAAGCATCACCTCATCTGATATGTACAAAGTAAGAGAAAGGGAACAGCATGTGCTGCCTGTTGGCCGAATGCCACTCTGTGTCAGACCCCTGGCATGGACGTGAGCACGTCATTCTCCTGACAGCTCTGTGACCTGGGGGTGGGTGCTTCCAGTTTCAGACACAGACGACGAAGCTCAGAGAACTTACAGAGACCCACCCTGTGTCTCCTGACAGGTACGGGGAAGGGCAGGGTTTTTCCAGGCCCCACATCTGCTGGACCCCTTCCACTCCGCCCCTTGGTCTCAACTTCCCACCCCGTGGCAGTGGCTGCCCTGTCTCTGGCTAGCCACCCCTCAGCTACCTTCCTGGCATCGGACGAGAGCAGGCACTGAAGGTCCTGTACTTACCGCGTGTCAGCATTGGCACCACTGTCCAAGAGGAACTTGACCATCTGCTGGTGCCCAGCACTGGTGCAATGGAACAGGGCAGTCCAGCCCTGAATGTCTTTCATCTCCAGCTCTGCACCTTGCTTCAAAAGAACACATGTGCTAGCTACGGCCCGCCTCCCCTGCTGGAGGGTCAGCAGGGACGGTGCGCCTGCTCACTGTGGCCTGTGGCAGTACCCTCTCATCCGAGCGGCCAGGCAGCCCTCTGATCGCTGGGTCGGGCACCCTGGTAGCTCACCTGGAGGAGGAAGTAGGCGATGCTCTCGTTGCCACAGCTGGAGGCCAGCATCAGTGGAGTCTGCCCTTCCGGGGTCGGCACATTCACACTCACCCCCGCCTCGAGCAGCAGGTGCACAATGGTATCGTGTCCAATGTAGGAGGCGTACATCAGCGGGGTCCAGCCACCACCATTCTTCTTGTTCAAATCTAACTCTCCCCTAAACAAACGCAAGACACGCTAGCCACGCCCTGCCGTCTCACACGTGCGGTTCACCATCACCAGCAGCGAGGCCAGGCCAGAGAAAGACCAGGGAGGTCTGACAGGAAACAGACACTCTGGGCAAGCTGCCATCAAGTGGACTTTCAAGTCAAGGTGACCCCACGTGTCACAGAACGGAACTGAGCCCCACAGGGTTTTCTAGGCTGTCATCTTTACGGGGGCAGATCATCGGGTCTTTCTCCCGCAGAGCTGCTGGGGGGGTTTGAACCGCTGACCTTTCAGTTAGCAGCCAAGTGCCTAACTGTGGCATCCCCAGGGCTCCTTTCCTGGGGAAGGTGTGTGGGCAAATACGTCCCCAAGGCTGCAGTGGGAAGTCCACACTCTGCAGTGCTGCCCTCCTGCCCATTTCACTTTCTCACTACCACTCCTGCCCCAGACCAGCAAGGCTCTTCTCCACACCCCCAACTAGACAGGTCGTTCTCCACCAGGAAGATGTTCCCTTCTGCTCATCACAGCTGAAAGGGGCTGCTACTGGCATCTAGTGGGTGGAGGCCAGGGATGCCACGAAGCATCCAACAGTGCACAGGACGGCAATTGTGACAGTTAACTAGCCTCAAATGCCAACAGTGCTGAGGTTGAGACACCCCAGCCCAAAGCCCTGACCGTCTACCCCAATCAACCAGACTCTGCTCGGCTAGTGCGGGGAGGAGGGCCACGAGGAAGGAGGGAAGGACTCGGCTGCAGAAAAGCCCTGTAGCAACTCATTCTTCCTTTGTCACCTCACCCTACAAAAAACTTCATGAAAAACCTATGACTAAGGAGTCCTATCTTCCTTGCTGATTTCCATGACAATTCTGGAAATGTGTTTCTCACGTGTACCTTCCAGGCTGGAGTGTAGAGCTGGGGCGGGAAGCGCATTTAAAGGAACACCTGCTTCCAAGACCGTCTTGCATCATTAACATTCCCCATCCCGACTCGCCTCCTCTTGGTCCAGAGTTCTTGCCTCTGGTGGAGGTAACAATCTTCAATCCAGTGTACATGTGGCTCTCCTAGGTACATGTGATTAAGCTACAGCACACAAGTACTTTGTAGGCACTGGAGTCTCCTGCTGATTCTGAGACTTGCACGCCTGGGCAGCCACTCCAGAGGCCCTGGTCTCAGGAACTCAGTGTCAGTCACTGGCTTGGAGAACCAGTGGAGACACCTTCTGGCATACAGCCTGCATGGATCTTGGCCATCCTTATCACATCACCTTCATTTACAAAGTGCTCCGATCCTCATGCACAGAGGGAGCCTGACCCTTGGCAAAGTGTTTCTCAGAGCTGTCTGACCTCCCCTCTGAGCCCCAGCCCTCCTCCTGATGCCCCAGGGTTCCTGGCCTAACTCTTAGCTACTGTTAAAAGGGGGGAAATGCAGAACAGAATTTCTAATTCTCATGAACTCTATACTTTCTGGAGCCAAGTAGGCTAGATGAACCCCTTAAACTACTACCCTGAGATAATCTTTAAAATATAACCAAAAATATCCCCTAAAGTCTTCTTAAAATCAAATAACAGTTTAGCTTAATGAGTAAAAACGTCTACCTTGAGCAATGTACTTCTTTAAAATCTATCTACGTAGGATCAAAGGAGGTCTGGTGGCACAGTGCCTAAGGCATTTGACTGCTAACCAGAAGGCTGATGGTTCAAACCCACCAGCTGCTCCGTGGAAGGAAGATGAGGCCATCTATTTCCATAAAGATTTACCACCTTGGAAACCCAATGGGGGCCACTATGAGTAGAAATTGACTCGATGGCAGAGGGTTTGGTTTTCATTTATATGACATCAAAAGGAGGCAGATTGCTCAGTAGTTAAGTGCTGGGCTGCTAATCCTAAGGTCGGCAGTTTGAACCCACCAGCAGCTCTGTGGCAGAAAGATCAAGCAGTCTGCTCTCATAAAGATTTACAGCCTTGGAAACCCTATGGAACAATCTGTTCTGTCCTTTAGGGTCTCTATGAGTGAGAATTGACTTGACAGCAATGGGTTCGATTTGATTTATACGGGATCAAAGTGACAACAGTGACTTAAAAGATGTGATAGGAACTTTAGGGGGTAGTGAGTTTATGTTTATGGGGAAGGAACAAGTCAGAAAAGGTGAAAACAGTTGTACAACTCGAAGAATATAATCAGTGTCACTAACTGTACATGTAAGTACTGTTGACTTACTGTATGTTCTGCTGTGTATGTTCTCATCAATAATAACAAAATAAAAAAATAGAGAAAATCTTAATCACAACACCAACACTTCCCCACCCTGCCCCTTGCCTCCGATAATGGCTTAAAATTGCTGTTCTCGATGATACGTTTTAACAGGATGTGCCTGAGAACTCTCAAAGATCAGTCATAATGGGGTCTTGGAGACGACAAGGAGGGATGCGTTGACTTCATCATCAGCCACCTCCTCTCCACAGGCCACCAGGTAAACAAGTTTTCCAGGTTACCCTTTATGAGAGGTTAGCCGGGAAGTGACTGCCAGCGCCAGGGACTGGGCCCCTGGAAAAGGCACAGCTGAGAATCACCCAGGTGTGGATGTACATCATCCGTCCAAGTTGTTAAACAAGAAATGGGAACCAGAGGAGCTGAATCCTTTTCCAAAAGTTACTAGGATCATAGCATACCATTCTTAAGACATGGGGCTCATTATACACATAAACCAGTTGCCACCAGGTCGATTCTGACTCACAGCAACCCCACGGGTCAGAGCAGACCTGCCCTCCACAGGGTTTTCAATGGCTGATGTTCTGGAAATAGATTGCCAGGCCTTTCTTCTCAGGCACCTGTGGGTTGACCCAGACTTCCAAACCTTCAGACAGCTGCCCAGCGCTTAACTGTGTGCCCCATCCAGGGACCCTAAAATATGTATGTTCTTGTTATCGCTGGGTGCCATCAAGCTGATTCGGACCCACAGCGCCCCTAGAGGACAGAGTGGAACTGCCCCATAGGATTTTCAAAGCTGACAATCTTTACAGAAGCAAAGCCCAAACCACACCTGCTGCCATCAAATTGACTCTGACTCACAGTGCTCCGAAAGAGACAGTAGAACTGTCCCGCAGGGTTTCTAAGGTTGCCAATTGTTACAGAAGCAGACCATCAGATCTTTCTCCCATGGAGCAGCTAGGTGGGGTCGAACTGCCGACCTCTGGGTTAGCATCAAGTACTTAACCACTGCACCGCGAGAGCTCCCTGAAGTGACCCCATATGACAGAGTAGAACTTCCCAGAGCGTTTCCTAGGCTGTGATCTTTACAGGACGAGGTGGCTAAGGCTTTTCTCCTAAGGGGCCACTGGGTGGGTTCTAACTGACAACCTTCAGTTAGCAGCTAAGCACTTCACTGCACCACCAAGCTCCTTTAATACACACACATGCAGATTTGCCAAAACAGCACATGGGCAGGGCTTTAGGAGACAACCCTCCATCCAGAAGGGGAGCTAAAGCCCAGCCCCTTTGCTTTGCTATGGCAAAAACCAAACGGGAGAGGAGGGCATGAGAGAAAAGCCAGCCATCTGGAAAGGGAGGACCACAGGGTCATCAGTTCCTATCTTCGGTTTGTGGGACTTCTGCAAGCAAGGAGTGACAACCAGACACTTACCGTGCTTAAATTTTAAAGTCTGAAACATTTACAAGCCGATGAAAAAAGTCTACGTCCTTCTTCTTCTTCCTAGGAATAAACACTGCCAGCCTCGCTTGTGAGTGCCCTGCATCGATCACTACCGACAAAGCCCAAGGTAAAGGGGGGCTAATTCGCCCACATGCGTGAAATGTCTGTACCTGCGGCCACGTTAGATCACAGGTATTCTCATGTGGAATCTAAGCAAATAGACGGTGCTCAAAGCTGAGGAGAAGGGACATTTCCCAGGCTCTCTTACCGCTGGACACACTCCTTCACCACTTCATACTGGCCAATGGACGCGGCAGTATGCAGATCCAAGGGGACGTCTAGCTCCTCCCGGCAGACCTGCGTGCCCAACCCGTGCCACATGGACAGGCTGCGGTTCAGGAGCTCTGGCTCACTGGCTTCATCACTGAGCTCCGACATAGCTGCAGAGGGAGGCACTCAGGTTAGGTCTGCTTGCTGGCTGTACCAGGGACGGACAAGAGCCAAATTCCGCCTACCCACAGTAAGCTGCCGCATCACTATGCTATCAGTGGTCCGGACACCATGGGGCTGACTTATACAACTACCTCTCATTCAGTGTTGGATGGCTAGAGCAGCTCCCTCCTGTTCACAATGAGGTGTAGCTTTTTTTTTTTTTTTTTAATTTTTCCAGTGATGTAGATGAAAGTTTACAGAGCAAATTCATTTTCCATACAGCAGTTCATACACATTTTGTTTCATGACACTGACTACAACTCCCCACAATGTAACAGCTGTCTTCCCACTTCCTCCCTGAAATTACACCTTCCCTGTGTCCTTCTTCCCTACGCATTCCACCCCCCTGAGCTATCTCCCTGATATGAGGAGCTTCTTACCACAGACCCTAAAAGGGAATTCTCAGGATTTCAAAAGCCTAGCAGCATATTGGCTGGATAGTAAAGAAATGTTAATGGGGTCATTTGACCAAATGGACTCTTGGGTATAGTGAGAAAGACGTGGATTTGGGGTAAGATCACAGCTGAGCTTTAAACCACACAGTAATCTCAACAGATGTGGAAAAGGCATTTGACAAAATTCCACACCTTTCATGATACACACACTCACCAAGGTAGGAATAGAAGGTGTGGTAGTTAAATTTGTATGTCACCTTGGCTGGGCCTGGTTGAGTGGCCAGGCAGCTGGTGATAGTTATTCCCCATGATGAGACTGGCAATCAACTCCATGGTGGGATCTACCACAAGCAGCTGAGTAGCTGCCTTTGGGATGTGGTCTGCTTCCTGTATATAAGGAGAAGCCTTGGGGATAGTCTCTAGCTTATGGCACGCTTGGACCCTGAATGTAGCTGTGTCGTTATTCAGCAGCCTGACATGCTCTGCTGACCTTGGGACATACAATGGACTTAAATTAACGGCCTGTCGTGCAGTTTGGTAACATCGGGACTGTGCCTTTTTACTTGTCAACCTTGGGTTTGTCAGTCTCTGCAGCCAGCAGCTGTCTGAGTGAAGAAAAGCCTCTAGCTTCAGTGGGCCGGGAGCAGGAGGCAGAGCTGAAGCCCAAGGCTGAGGGGCTTTCAGCCAGCCCCTAGAGCCTGGCACTTTGAACTTGGACTTAAAGCCTCCAAACTGTAAGAGAATAAACTCCTGTTTGTTAAGGCCATCCAATTTGTGGTATATTCTTGTCAGAACGGCACTAGGTAACCAGAACAGAAGGGAAACGCCTCAGTATAATAAAGGACATTTATGAAAAAGCCACAGTTAACATTATATTCGGTGGAGAAAGATGGAGAGCATGCCCGTCAAGGTCAGGAACAAGACAGGGAAGTCCACTCTCACTGCTGCTAGTCAACATCATGCTGGAAGTCCTCTCCAGAACAATTCAAAAAAACCAAACTCACTGCCGTTGAGTCAGATCTGACTCACAGCGACTCCTCCTTGGGTTTCCAAGACAGGAAAAAATGTAACCAAATCAGGAAGGAGGAAGAAAAGGTACCCCTTTTCACAGACAACATGATCTTATACATAGAAAACCCCAAAGAATCCACAAGAAAGCTACTGAAATTGATAAATGAATTCAGCAAAGCAGCAGGGTACAAGGTCATCACATAAGAATCAGTTGGGTTTCTGTTGTTAGGTGCTCCAACTCCAACTTAGTTGGCTCCAACTCACAGCAACTCTCTGTATAACAGAACAAAACAGTGGCTGGTCCTGCACCGTCCTCTACGCCTCAGCAATGAGCAAATTGAAAATTAAATTCAGGAAACAGTGCCATTTCCAATAACATCTAAAAGAATAAAGTACTCAGAAATAAATTTAACTAGGAAGGTAAAAAACTTACAGAAAACTAAAACATTAGCAAAAGAAGTCAAAGACAACTTAAATAAATGGAAGGACCCTCTGTGTTCGTGGACTGGACGGCTTAATATAGTGAAGATGTCAATATTACTGGTTAAGGATTGAATTGTGTCCCCCAAAAATATGTGTTTTATCATCCAGAGCAAAGAATGAAGAAAACCAAAGATTCATGGAAAGAATTAGTCCTAGTGACTGGTACACCATGCAAGCCACAGCCTATATAACTATGAGACCAGAAGAACTAGATGGTGCCTGGCTACCACTATCAGCCACTCGGAGGGAGATCTATGTAGGAGATCCTAGATAGAGCGGGAGAACAATGTGGAACAAAACTCAAAAATAATTTGGAAAAAAAAAGGGGGGGACCAGGTTTGCTGGTCTGATAGAAGCTGGTGGAACCACTGAGACTACGGCCCCTAGCTGCCCTTCAGGTCTGGAACTGAACCCACACCTGTGGCTTCCAGCCAAGCAAGACAGGCATATGAGTTGAACATTTACCTGAGGTAGATATACTTCTTGGAGAGAACAATCATGGGAGAAAGAAGGGCTGTTTACGCACAGGGAGACAGCCCAGGGGGCAGGAGTGCATGGAGGGATGGACAAAGGGAAGAGGTGACTGTCGGGAGAAAGTGGGAGGGGAGCTGCTGTATTGTGGTGAATTATGATCAGTGTCATGAGACAAAGTGTATGTGAGCTGCTGTATGAAAAGTGAATTTGCTGTGTAAACTTTCATCCAAATCACAATTTAAAAAAAAAAAAGTGTTTTAAATCCCACTATACCTGTTGTTATAATTCCATTTGGGAATGGGTTTTATTATGTTAATGAGTCAGTATTACTGTAAGGTGTGTCTTAAATCAATCTCTTTTGAGATATAAAAGAGTAGACTGAGCAAGCAACCAAGCAAGCAAGGAAAGATGGGGGAAGACAGATGTCATGCCACATGATCACCAAGCAACAGAAGTTGAAAAGAGACAAGGACCTTCCTCCAGAGCTGACAAAGAAAGCATTCTCCTAGAGCCGGCACCGTAAATATGGACTTTCAGACTCCTAACCTGTGAGCAAATAAATTTGTTTGTTAAAGCCATTCACCTGTGGTATTTCTGTTACAGCAGCATTCAATAACTAAGATATTACCCAAAGCAATCTATATACTCAATCCAATCCCCATAAAAATTACAACAGCTTTCTTTACAGAAATAGAAAAGCCAATCCTCACATTTATATATGGAAGTTGGACTTCAGGCAAGATGGTGGAATAGGCAGACAAGCTACACAGACCCCCTTCAACAGAGAGACAAGAAACCAAATGAAATAGGTACAGAAGATAATCCTAGAGCCCTGAGCTTTGAAAAGAAAGATAAAGAAGTGGATTAAATACCAAGTAGTAGAAGAACCTGAATAAAAACAGCGAATAAGGAGCTGTGGGCTGTCGGCTATCCTGATGGCATGGCCAGTTTGAATATCTGTAAGTGGCATTAAGATCTGGGCAGCAACCTAAGAACCTACTCTGCTTGCCAAGAACGCATGGACAACTGCACTGGTAGGTGACGATTAGAAAGGAAAACAGCAAATAAGGAGATAAAATGAACTGTGGACTTTTAGCTGTCCTGAGGGCACAAAATTTTGAATATTTGCAAGCACTGTTCTGATCCTAGTGACCTAAGTATAGGCTCCACTTGCCGAGGACAGCATAGGCACACTGGAGGCTGACGACTAGAAAGATGCAATATTCTCCTCGTTACTCTGATACCCTACTCCCTCTTGGTGAACAGAGGTGTGGCCATCCCCCACCTCCACCCACCTTCTGGGCTGGCAGGAATTCTATCCCACTCTGTGTGCCCTGACAGAACCTGGATGCCCTGCTCTCCACCACCACTACCACCCCGAGTTTTGTTTTTGTTTGTTTATAAATTATTCTTTTTTTCTGCCTTTTAATTTTTTTTTTCTTTTTCCCTTCTCTAGTTCTTTTTTTTCTCCCCTCTCTTCCCTTTTCCTGGTTCCTGTCTTTTTTCTTTCTTCTGGTTCTTCCCATCCCTTGTTTCTCTTTTTGTAGTTTTCTCATTTTTTTCTTCATTATTCTTTTACTCTTGCCCTTTTTTCTTCTCCCCTTCCTAGACATTGAGGGTTGTTTTTTTTTTTTTTTATTTCTCTTTTTCTACTTATATTTCTTTTGTTATAGTATTTCTTTAAATATTTCTTCTCATTTATCACCTTTCCTTTTTTTTTTAATGATTTTTCCTTTTTATTTATGCACTTTGTATTTTTTGTTCCCTGTTTTTATTTTTCTGGTGGTTTTTTTATAGTTTTTTTTTTTTTTTTTTTTTTTTTATGAGCATGAGACCAGAAGAACTAGATGGCACCCAGCTACTACAATCAATCCCTCGGAAAGGGATCAGTTCAGGAAATCCTGGATACAGTGGGAGAACAATGTGGAATAAAACTCAAAATCATAAAAAAGACCAGGGTTACTGGTCTGATAGAGCCTCATGAGAACCCCTGACTCTATGACCCCTACTTATCCTTCAGGTCTGGAATCAAACTCACTCACTCCTGTGGCTTCCAGCCAAATAACAGACAGGCATATAGGATGAACATTTACATCAGGTAGATATAGTTTTAGAAGGATCAATCATGGTAGAACAGAAAGGCAGTATTTGCACAGGGAGATAGCTCAGGGGGCAGGAATGCACAGAAAAGGACACAGGAAAGCGGTAACTATATGGAAGAAGTAGAAGGAGAGCTGTTACATTGCAGGGAATTGCAGTCAATTTCATGAAACAAAATGTGCATGAACTGCTGCATGGAAGATGAATTTGCTCTGTAAACTTTCACCCAAATCACAATTTAACAACAACAACAAAAAAAACCTGCTCATACTAGTATAACAATAGACATATAGACCAATGAACTAGAACTGAGAGATCAGAAACAAATCCATATATCTAAGGCCAAATAATTTTTGACAAGGGACTAAGTCCATTCAGTGAAGAAGGGTCTTCAACAAATGATGCTGGGCAAATCAGATTTCCACATGCAGAAGAATGAAACAGGATCCATGCCTCACACCATACACAAAAACCAATTCACAA